ATGAGGAAAAGCAGCAAGTCCCGGTGCCCGGCCCCGTTTACGGCCGGCACCGGCCCTGCGGGAGGCCGAGGAAGCAAGCGTGGGAGCGATCGCGTGCGTACTGACCAGCCGTCGCCAGCTCTTCCGTCCTTTTCCTCTTGTCCTCCTCCATCCCTCTCAGCTGGGCCTTGACTTTCTCCTGCACAATGGAAAGGGATCCGGCTGGAGCAGGACGGCTTTTCTTCCTCTCCGCCCCCACGAGTCGGCCCGGCCATCATTTCCAAGCCGGTGCCCGGGCCGGGCTGACGCAGCACCTCCCTACCTTCAGCTCGTGGGCAACCTCTCCCACCAGGGCTATGCCATGGCCCCTGTGTGCCTTGGTGCGCTTGCACACCGCACAGAGGGGCGCTTGGTCCTCCCTGCAAAAGAAGTTCAGGGGCCTCCGGTGCTTCTTGCACTGGTGCAGCCTCGCGCCTGCTCTGGTCTCCTCCCAAAGCTTCTTGAAGAGCTGCACCACCTTCGCCAGGTGCCAGTTTGGCCTGCCATCCCTTTGCGGAAAGTGCTTCCGACACTCAGGACAAGCAGATTCAGCCTCGGACTCTTCCCAGTAGTGGACGACGCAGGATTGGCAGAAGTTGTGCCCACAATCCAGCATCAGAGGGTCTTTGAAATAGACCAGGCAGATGGGACATGTCATGGCTTCAGAGAGCTCCTGGAGGAGCCCCACGGCCGCCATTTTGGCCTCTCCCTGAAAGGCAGAAGGGATGAGCTTGCTTCACTTCCAGTTTTATTTCCCACCTCCTTCGCACACCCCTTCAGGAGGAGGAGAGCCCGGGAGAGAAACCCAAAAGATGCACAATAAATGTATACAGAGGAAAATCTTGCCCTGTCGATGCGGCCCAAATCCATCCCATTTTCATCAGACAAAAGCTCCGTAAATTTGGGCTATGTCCAACGTCAAGCTAACTCGAGCCCCATTATTTTAAATGGTCCGCCCAAACTCTCGCACAATAACCAGCACATATTTTCAAGGGAGAACCCTCTTGAGTGTGGCACTGCAAGATAAGCAATCGGCAAATATACACTGAAGCTTACAGGTGACCTTTTAAATGACTTTAAACTGACAATTCCTGCATTGTTTAACTCAAGACTCAGGGTCAAGCAAGCTGTGCTTATCACCTCAACTTTCATGCAACAAGGCAAGAACACGCCATTTCTGGGTTGTCATTGCGACATCCAAGTAAGAACCTGGGTTTGCTTAGGACTTAAACAACCCAGAGTCAACCCAACAACAAACCATGTGTCTTTGCTGGATTAATTCTGGGCCCCTAACGCCTAAAGAATCCAAAGTTCCAGGTGTGGATATCATTCTAAAACCCCAAGAGGAGACCAAAAGTGGCAGCTACAATCCATAATTATCTGTGTGCTGAGAGCCAGATCAGACTACTATAAATAAATTGTGTTTTAGATCAAGTCCCCTTGATTGGAAAACATTTTCCTGTTGCCCTTTTAAAGAGGGACTGGGCCAAACGCACTGTAAGAACCCGATCCGGCAAGGATTAGAGTTCATGAGTAGATGTGCAGAGAATCCTAACCTTACCGGACGGACTTTGGTCACCGAAGCACCGAAGGGAACTCTGCACAAATATGGGAAGCTACACTCGGCCATGCCTGCAGCTTCACTTGCGCACAAGCTTCCCCGGAGCACTTCCTGCTTCCGAGGAGGTGCATTCAAAGCACAGCATGACAGAGCTTTGGCACTGCCCTCTCCCCAGGTCTTGCCTCGTAGTTCAGGAATGACAACCGGTCTAGCTATAAACTTCAGCAGCAGCAACCCTCCCCTTGTATTATTAGAAGAGCAGAACTTACCGTTCCTGGCTCAACACATCACAGAAAGGTGGACCCAAGAGAGAGCAGTGGGCTGGCCAGCCGGGCGGCCCTTATAGTCTCTCCTCACAGCTGCAAGCAATGAGCAAGCCTGCAGCCCTCACAGGCCCTGCCGCTCAGGGCAGCCTTCCCAGGGCGGTGCTCCCGAGATGTTTTGGACTCCCCGTCCCATTACCCTGGCTTAACCTGCCCCCCATTCATTTCAGCGGGTCTGCTGTAAGAAGGGCTTGTGTCTGTCCAATGGGCCTGTCCTGTGGGCACCCCTGGGGACGCCTCTTCCGCGGAGCAGCCCTACAAGCCCCGTGGCCCCAAGGAGGCGTGTGGGGTCCCAGGGTGAGGGTCAGGGCTCTGGCTACGGTGACGGTGTGGACAGACGGACACGCTCCTCCCGCTGCTGCGACACAGTGGCCTTCCTCCACCTGGTGGGCTTCAGGCATTTTGGACCACAGCTCCTCGAATTCCTGACCATGAGCCGTGTTGGCTGGGGCTGATGGGGGCTGGAGTCCAAACCCTTGGAGGAGGAGTTGGTGATCGATAGGGGGAGCGAGAACTGAGCTAGGGATGCCGCCGACTACTCAGACTGCCCACTGTGGACACACGCTTTGCCCTGTGCACAGCGAAACGCGGGTTCAAAACGGTTTGCTTTTGTTTACTGAACTTCTGTGCCTCAATAAACATACTTTGCACCTTCGGGGGGGGGCACCAAGTTTCCCGGGGGCATGGGGGGGGGGGGATTCAGAGTTGTTTGAAGCGCGGGTTGTAACCACGAGAAGCGAAGGGGGGGGGGGGGGGGGGGGGGGCGCCGCCCCGTCGGGACCCTCTGCACCCCGGCGAGTGGCGCGAGCAGCAGCGGAGGGCGTCCGGCGGCCATGCGCTGGGGTCGCTCGGCGGCGGCCTCCGAGGAGGTGCGCGCCGGGGGCGCCGGGGCTGGAGCGCCGGGGCGGCTCCGGGGCGGCGTTGCCGGCGCCCCCCAAGCCTGCCTGGCAGGGCTGTTGCGGGGATGCAGCAGGGAGGCGGCGGCCGCGAGGGCCGTCCTGGGGCAGAGCGCGCCCGCGGCAGGAAGGCACACGCCCCCGAGAGCGCGCCCCGCCAGCGCGTTCCACGGGCGCGCGCCTGCCCCGCTCCCGCGCCCGGAGAGCTGCGGAGACCGAGCGGCCGGACGCGCGGGGCCGCGCCTGGTGCCCGGACGCGGGTGCGCAGCGAGAAGCGCGCACGGGACGCGGCCCGGCCCGGCCCGGCCCACCTCCGCCCCGCGGCCCCCCC